GTTCTTATTACCAGGTTTGTGTGATTCGGTGTGCTGGAGTCATGTTGAGTGCTGCCCTATTTAGCTTTTCTTTTTCCTCATGATTATCATTCTCTAAGAGGTCAAAGTGTATCAATAAGGTGATGGGGGTGTCTGTGGTTTTGATGAAGCTTCTGAAGATTGAATGAGGGGCGATGAGATATGCTCATTATTTATGAGTTTGATGAAAAATGATGGTGGATGGTCAAATAAGTTCTAAATTTGAAATTTCATTCCTTGAATTTCTCTCCAAAATTTTGTGTTTGAGATAGTTGGTTTCCAAGTAAGGTTATGCCCATGATATTATAGATTTTTTTTAGTGGTTGCGACATGCATTTATATCCTTTTGGGTTTGGAGAGTATCCAATAAGCGTTCCTTTGATAAATTTAAGGATTATTATGCTCTTGCTTTGAGAATGTATGAGAATTATACAAAACACACAAAATTTTGGAGGAAGTATAGAAATGGTTTTGTTCTTGGTAAATGAATTAAGGGGTTGAACATGAATTGGATTTTAAGCACCCTTGAGAATATTCAATGAATACATATTTAAGGAGAACGATAGAGACCTAGTCACTTGTAAGAGGAAATAACTCTATTTTGTTGAGAAGTGTTGATATAAGAGCTTTGATGGGTAATTTGGTAATGTTGGAGATAATTTTTGTAGACCAGTTCAAATTATTCTTTAAAATTGTTTCTTTTTAGGACTTGCGTTATGGACCAAAATTTAGTGTTCATTTTTATGTTGAAAAATTTAAAAATTCAACTTGCCTTCGATTTTTCTTGCATGATGAAATAGAAAGGAGAGCAGTGTTGTGATTTGTATTTGTGAGTTTTCTTTTTGAAATTTTTTTCCAATTCATTTTTTTGTCGTTGAGTTTTCACATTCAAGTTTTCCATTTTGAAGTTGATTTTTAGCTTTTTTGTAGTCACTACCATCTTTTTTGTGGTAGTGCATTATTTTTTTTCCATGAGGATTCTTCACATATATTTTTACCACTTATGTTAGAGGAAGATTGGCTTTCAATGTTGGTAAAGAACCTGTCACCATAGAAAAGAGACTTTATTTTGAAGAGTAAGATGAGAAGCTGTACAAAAAATGTTAAGAGAAATGACTATCAATTAAGAAAATAAATATGAAATCTTGAATTAATTACACATTCGAAGTGGAATGATGATTTTTATGATTTATTGGATTGCTATAGATGAAAAACTGTAGTTTATAGATTGTCGGATTGCTGGAAATGGAAGATTAATGTCCATAGGGTGTTGGATTGGTATATACGGATAGTAGTTGTTTTATTGGGCCACATATTTTGTTGTTTTATTTTTGTAAATTATTTTATTTACTTTTTTTTCTCATTTTTTTTGAAAATATTATTTTTCTTGTTTTCTTTGCCTTTCACACATTTCATTTTTTTTGGCCTCGTGCAAATTGAGTGCTCTGATTGGAGTTGCTACAAATTATTCTACTGTTGCATGCCTTTATAGATTTTAGGTTGGGTTGATCAAATTAGATGACGGCTTTCTTGAATGCGAAGTTTACTTTCCACAATTTGAGGTAAAAACTCCTTGACATATGGGTTTGGTTTGTAGTAACCCTCATTTGCAAAGCTCTTCAGGGGAACACAATTCCATAAAAAAATTTATTTTCTTAAAATATTATAAGGGACCACGTCTTAAGAATGTACCAAACAATTAGTAGTCATTTTTGTTTTCTTAAATTAGGTTTTTTTTTCCTTTTTAATTTGTTGTAGTTACACAAAACCTCTTCTGCGTCATGCGATATTATTTTCTATATGTTTTGGTGGTAGTCCCAGATTGATTAAACTGAAGCTGTTAAAACTGAAATAAGTAGATATTTCTGAAGATATTACAATGGTCTATTTTGCTTTTATTAGCTTCTTTGGTTATACTAAAGAGGCCAGACCTGGATTTGTGGTTAGTTAACTATTACGAGGGTGTCTAGCTTAAGGGCAAATTTGTCTTTTATACGCATAAGGGCAATTTAGTCTTTTATTATTATTGTTGTTGGTATAAATAGACTTATTATGTCTAGGGTTAGTTTTCATGCATGAGATTGAGTTGTGACTCTTAGGTTTAGGTCTTGGGAGAGATTTACTACCTTTCGAATTGTAGGAATTGGGAGAGATCGCGTACCTCTCGAATTGTAGTTGTTTATCTTTTGTATTTGTGTGAGTTGTTAGGATCATTGAAGTAAATATTCGTGTTTGTCCTAATTTTCTGTGGAAAGACGTGCTGGTTTCTGTCTCAGATCATAACAAATTGGTATCAGAGCCTAACCCTAGATCTAGTAGCCCCCGGCCTTCTTTGTTGGTTCCAGCGGCCACCTCCCTTTCCAAGCAGCCAGTCTCCCCCTGCTTTTTGTGCCGCTGATCTGCGGCTTGTGCCAATATCAACGCCGATCTACAACTTAGTAGAAAGAAGTCTCCTTGTAACGTCGCTGATCTGCAGCTTAATTGTGCCAATATTAATGTTGATTTGTAGCTTACATGTAGCAAAAAGGAGTCTACTTGTAACGTCGTTGATCTACCATTGATTTACAACTTCCTCTGCCGCTGATCTACATCTTACCTGTTACTATTCAGATCGACGACCGACATACATTCTCGTGATATAGACACACACATCAATCGACAGGATTTCAGTGTGCGGGTCTTTTCGTGCTTTGCGATCAAAATTTCTTCTGAGTGATGACAGGAAAAAGAGTGGATGATTTAAAGAACAAGTTGGAGGAAGAGATACAACCAAATCAGATCTGGGATGGAAGAAAGGTTCGCCACTATAGATGATTGATTTTCTTCCATGGAAAACCGAATGGAAGAATGATTTGAGATCATGGGGGAAATTCGAGAGTTGCTAATGATGCTCATTGAAATGCAATCCAAGAACCCATCGACAGCTGAATTTATAAACTTTAATCAAAAGTTGATTGGAAAATCCGTGGCAAGATTGAAAGGAAAAGAGATCAAATGTGAGGAACAGGAGGGGGAAAACATCCACCATCATAAAGGTCCTCTCAGGAATTCGATTAGGGGTAGATTAGAAATTTCTGATGGAGATAGTTTGTCAAAACATGGAGAAGGGATTATGCCAGAGGTTTGGAGGAGCACGAGAAGGGAGAGAAGCAGAGAGGGGATATATGGTCAAACGGAAAAGCTGTACCCTCGATACATGGAAGGAAACAACGGAGGAAGAGGAAGTTGGGTTGGAGATGTTAGAGTTTGGAAGTTTAAGATGCCGATTTTCAAGGGGGAAGATGCACATGGGTGGGTGTACTTGGCGGAGCGATACTTCGCGTTGAATGGGTTGGATGGGGAGGAGAAACTCATGGCGACAGGATTATATTTGGAATATAGGGATTGTTTGTTGGAATGTTTTTGAGTCATTCTGGAAGGAGACTTACACGAGCTATTCTATGTCCTGACTCAGGAGGGGAGATCATGGACTATAGGGACTGTGGGCGATTTTTGATGTAGGACTGGTGGGGAATTTTATAAAGGGCTTAAAGCCCGACATACGGACAACACTCTGATTGTTGAGACTACGGAGATTGAGGGATATGATGGAGCTAGCCGAGGTTGTGGAGGATAAGAACCAGATGAAGAAAACCAGTAGAAGCAGCACAAATGAAGTATCATACGGAACTGCTGCAACCACGATGGTGGCAAAAGTTCAAACAGTGGAAGCCCAGAAGGAGGCTGCATGAAACACAAATAATGGACCACGACTAGGAGCAACACGCAATCATCTTATAGAGTCAGAGTATTCAGAGAAGCAAGCGAAGGGGTTATGTTTTCGGTGTGATGAGAAGTTTATCCCAGGACACTGTTGCATGGATCGAAGACTATAAGTTCTCATAGTACCGGATGAAGAGGGGGGGGGGGGGGAGAAACAAAAAATGAAGAAATAGAGACAGCTGCGAGGGAAGAGGAGGAACACTCATTTTTTCCCAACTTGAGTACAAGGTGTCTTTCGGATGGAGAGTATTGTTATGACGGTGCCTATCCTAAGGACAAATTTGTTTTTTGTACGCCTAAGGGCAATTTAGTCTTTTATTATTATTATTCTTGTTGGGTATAAATAAATTTTTTATATCTAAGATTAGTTTTTATGCATGAGATTGAGTTGTGAGCCTTAGTTTTAGGTCTTGGGAGAGATTTCATGCCTCTCGAACTATAGGAATTGGTAGAGATTGCGTACCTCTCGAATTGTAGGTGTTTATTTTTTGTATTTGTGTGAGTTGTTTGGATTATTGTGTGTGAGTTGTTTTTGTTTGGATTATTGAAAAAAATATTTGTGTTTGTCATAATTTCGTGTGGAAAGACCTGCCGATTTCTGCCTCAGATCATAACAAATTTGTATACCTAACAACAATAATAATAAAAGGCTAAATTTTCCTTAGGCATACAAAAGATAAATTTGTCTTTTGGCTAAGCGCCATCATAACATTAACTCAATTACGAATTATGTCATTGGTTAGTTTGTTTAATGTACACGTTTCATCCTTTGCCAATAGGGATCTAATCACCGTTCAGTTTTCTATATGAAATACACAGCTGAATTTAGAGTCCCTAAATGATAGATTTATTATTTATTTTTCAGTATTGACCTGATATTTATTAGTAGAGTTTTGGTCACCTTTATTGTAGGTTAACCACAATTTGCCGCTTATATTGGACTAGCAAAGCTAATGTTAAGCATAAATAGGCTCTCGTGTCTCTATAAGTGCATAATTTGTGCGAGAGGATTCAGCCAACGTGTGGTTTAGGAGGGAACACAATCTTATGTCTATGTTGTATAGAGGATATTTCCATGATTTTAATTCGTGTCCTCCAAGTCATAGTGGATGCTACCTAACAGTCAGCTGATTATTCATCTCTGCTATGCCTTATTTGCTGTTGTTTTATCAATTTATGGTTTATTTGATAATTTGGTTTGTGCCTTTTATTATCTTCAGGCAAGACTGAACAAAATAAAGCTCCTTGATGCAATGGAAATGTTCTTTGAGAGGTATTTATTTTTTGCCCCTTTCATCTTCCATGATTCATGTTTTCCCAAATCCTAACTCATTCTGTTTTCACTAGATCTGGCAGATCTGGAGATACACAAAATTTTGGAGCGCCTGTGAAGCCATGCAGTGTTTGTCATGAATCAGATATGTTACTTAAACGTAGGCCGGTAATAATTTAACTGATTTGTAAGTATAGAGAAAATTATTCTGGAGACTTTTTGGTCCTAACAGTTAGTTGTATTAACAGAATGGTGATTTCATGGTCGGTTGCCAGCGTTTCCCTCTTGTGAGTTTGCCTTTATCAGTTTTGCAAGCCATCGAGAATATTGCATCAGTAATGTAGCACTGCACTACTCAAATCAGCAGTAATTTATTTGGTTCCATTGCTTTTGACAAATATGAATGTTTTGCTTGGTAATATAAAAACATTGCGAAGAAGCTTGCAAAATAACTGACTTAGTTAAGATAACTGCGCTGATGTACGACATTAGCTATTGCTTTCTGACCTAATTTTCTCCAAGGATGAATGTTATGCATGGTACCAATTATATTCTAAACTTCTAAGCGATGGTACCAATCATATTCTAAACTTCTAAGCGCATGCTTTTAAGGGTAAATGACCAACTGATACTGTATTCAAAACTGCTGGTGTTGTGATTGTGTAGATTTGATGAGCATATGCTTCTGAAATACAAGTGTGGATTAAGAAAAGTATCAAGAGTCTCTTTGGTTGGAGGAATTTTGATTGCATTAAATCCTAACTGAAGTAGTTTTAGAAATTAAAGTGTTTGGTTTGCTGAAAAGTAAACTCAGCATTTTGGGGAGGAATTTGAAATTCATCATTTTGCCATTGATCTCGGCAACACCTCCTCATGTGAGCTTGTATCATGTTCTCTCCTTCCTAACAGGCCGTCGTTCAGCACCTCCCACGGCAAGCTCTCGTCACATTTGTTCTCTATTACATGTCGTTGATCTTGTCAATGCCCGCCCAATGAGTTTCACATCTCTACCCTTCATACACTGCCAATCCGACCTACACTCCTCCCAATAGCCTCATGTCACATCCTTCCTTTCCTTACACCACCCCACATGAAACCCCAACTCACTGAACTTCTACCACGATTTTTTCTTTCTTTCTTGTTACCGACACCTGGCTTAGTTTACTCCCATCCAAACTTGAGAATATCTTCTGAATTTATATTACACCTGGCATCATTAATTCTAAAAATTTACAAATAATTTGGTTTTAAGGGTTGAGCTTTTAGTTTGGAGCTGAGATGATTTTAGTGTAATGCCTCGTTTTGTCTACCCGAGGAGAGGAATTGAAGAGTCTAAGAAACCGAAGAAGAAGAAACGAGGAGTCGGGAAAAGCCGGAAGGTAGGAGAGGGAACTTGGGGATGGAAAGCCAATGAGACGACTTCGCCTATATAATGATGCGATAAAGGCAAGTTTTACTTACTCGAGAGTCGAGGGACAGATTGAGGTGACAGGTTGAGTTCGTATGTTCGTGTGGGAGGAAGTTTTTTCAAGCAGAGGCGTGATGCTAGGGTTTCACCAAGCCAACGATGGCGAATCACGACATCTTTGTGAGCAAAGTAGGTGAGATAAAGGCGACAAAGAGCGGCTGGTGCAGAGGCCAAGCAAGGCGATGTGAGGAAGGGGATGTGTGTGGGAGAGCCGAAGCAGGTCCCATGTCTGCGAGTTTGGGTCGATCGAATTCATGAAAAGGTAAAATATAATGCTTTTATTTAATTGATTGTATATATATATATATATATATTATAATATTAATAAAAATTTTATAATTTAAGACTTGGAGGTGATCAAAAGGTAATGAAATGTATGAGCTAGATGAAGAAGATTGATCTTAGCAAACTTCAGCAAGGAAAATTTAAGTTTATATTTAAATTAATGAATTTTAATAGCAAAATAAGGTTAATTACGTTTTCCTAAAGAAAAACAATGAAAATTTAATACTTAATTAATGTAAATTTAATACCTAATTAAAATGATAAATAATTAAAGTTTTGTAAGATGAATACCTTTGTTAGGCTTTCAAATTTAAAAGTGTTGATGTGATGACAAATAATATAAAAAATTAATCGACGTCAAGATAAATACTCATGTTCTTTTATTATGATATTTTACTTTCTTTAGACCAGTTGCTTTAATTTATATTTTCATTAGTTATATTGTAGTTGCTACAAACTCGGAATTTTTAATTTTAGTGGATTTTTTTCATATTATAGGAATGATATTCGTGCACAACATTATCTAATGATTTTTAAGTATATTATCTCATACGCAAATGAGAATTAAACATATTTTAGTAGAAAATTTTATTATATTGTTTGTATGCGCATGACTGACTATAATAGATGCACCCATTGATGTTACTAGTGGGAGAATATTAAGGTACTCGTGCATGTATATGGAAAAGGATATTGATAATAAAGTACCTTAAGTGATATAATTTTTAGGTGATATTCGTGTGACAGTGGTCTAGATATAGAGTGATATTGATATGATAAGTGTTAGGGCGTCCCCTGGAAGCGACGCGTTGTATAACCTGAATACAGTGAAAAGTGTGCAAGGGCCACTACACCGGCGCCCGGGTGTCGGGTGTAGTGTTAAATAAGTAGTGTTAAATAAGCAAGGGTTCCCACTTTACTGGCCATTGCGGGTAAAAAAGTTAGTCCATGAAACTTATGAAACTAATATTAGGATAGGATCTTAGAATATAGGTACTCTCAATGGTAAATTAATGGAATTAATTGATATTATGATTCGTAGGAAAATTAATATCTTATGTATTCATGAAACTAAGTGGGTTGGAGAAAATGCTAAGAAGATTGATAATTTAGGTTTTAAACTTTGATATTCTGGTAAGAGTCGCACTAGAAATGGTGTAGGTGTTATTATAGATAAGAGTTTGAAAGATAATGTTGTAAAAATTAATAGAGTTGGTGATAAAATTATAGCCCTTAAGATTATCATTGATACTAAGATTTTTAATATTATAAGTGTTTATGCTCCTCAAGTAGGTTTAGATACAGGTTCTAAAGATAAATTTTGGAATGAATTAGAAGACTTAATACAAATGATACCTCTTGAAGAAAGAATTTTTATTGGAGAAGATTTAAATGGACACGTCGGTAGAGTGGTAGAAGATTTCAGAAATATTGATGGTGGCTACGGTTTTTGAGTAACTAATGAAGAGGGTAGAGCTATTTTAGATTTTGCTTTAGCGTATGATTTTGTTATTACTAATACTTTATTCAAGAAAAGAGATGAACATCTTATTACTTATAAGAGTGGATCTAATAGAACACAAATTGATTATTTTCTTATGAGAAGAAGAGATCGTCGCGATTGTAAAGATTGTAAAGTTATTCCAAGTAAAAATTTAAGTTCCTAATATCGTTTATTAGTTTTAGATTTTAAGATTATGAGTTGTAAAATAAAAAATACTATGACTCTTCATTATAGAATTAAATGGAGAAACTTAAAAGACAAATAAAATTATTTTTATAAGTAAAATTTAAGATTTCAAAATTTGGGATATTCATGAAGAAGCAAATGTGATGTGGGATAAAATAACAAATACTATTAAACAAGTAGCAAAAGATGTGCTTAGAGAATCAAAAGAAAAAGTATTTACAAATAAATAGTTGGTGGTGGAATAATAATGTGAAAGAAAAGATAAAATATAAGAAGTTATGTTGTCTAAAAGAACAATCTGTGACGCTAAAAATTCTGTTTTCAATCATTTTTATAATAGATTAGATACTAAGGAGGGTGAAAAATATATGTATAAGCTAGTCAAACAAAGAGAAAAGAAAAGTAAAGATTTAACTCAAGTAAAGTGTATTAAAGATGAAAATAAAAAGGTGATTTTCTTAGAAAAAGATATTCAACATAGGTGGGTGAATTACTTTGATAAACTTTTTAATGAAGTTTCTAAAAATACGATCTACCTTAGTGATTTTAATATCGTGAATAATATAATAAAACGTTTCATTTTTACCGTTGCATTAACAAAAAAGAAGTTGATGAGGCTTTAAAGAAAACCAAGGGTGGAAAGTCTGTAGGACCTGATGATATCCCAATTGAAGTGTGAAAATATTTGGGAGATTTGGGAGTTTCTTGGCTTACTAAACTCTTTAATATTATTTTAAAAACTAAAAAGATGCTTGAGAAGTGGAGGAAGAGTATTTTGATCCCCATTTTTAAGAATAAAGGGGATGCACAAGAGTGTGCAAATTATAGAGGAATTAAGTTGATGTGTCATACTTTAAAATTATGGGAGAGGGTAATTGAACATAGGTTAAGATGCATCACGAAAATTTCTCATAATCAATTTGGATTTATGCCTGGCAGGTCTACTATGGAAGCTATACATTTATTGAGAGGTTTGATGGAGAAGTTCAGAGATAATAAGGAGAATCTACATTTGATTTTTATTGATTTAGAAAAAGCTTACGATAAGGTTCCAAGAGATATCCTTTGGAAAGTTCTCGAGAAGAAATGTGTTGATATGACTTATATTCAAGTCATTAAAGATATGTATACTAGAGCTGTTACTTGTGTTCAAACTGAAGGAGGATTGACAAAATATTTTCCTATTTCTGTTGGTTTACATCAGGGATCGACTTTAAGCCCATATCTTTTTGCTTTAGTTATGGATGGTCTTACTGGACATCTACAAGAGGATGTACCTTGGTGTATGCTTTTTGCTGATGATATTCTTCTCGTGGATAAAACGAGAGAAAAAGCC